TCTTTCCAAATAAGGTCACATTCATGGGTTCACAGGTGAATGTCTTGTGGGGGCCATTTTTTCGTCTACCACAGCGTGGACTCATGTGTGCCTCAAGGACCAAGCCAAGACAAGCAGGGATGTGCACATTTGCAGGATCTGACCAGGGTGGTTCTTGCTCACTGAGACTCACAGTCTTGACTCTTTAGAGCAATCCAGAGGGTTCTGGAATTAATTCTGGCTTTTGCCAAGCACAAATTGCATAAGGAGTGATTGGGTTGGTGCACTTGATAGAAAGAAATATGTACCCAACATCCACCTGTCAGCGTGGCTTCAGTGTTCCTTGTCTAATCATATAGATTATTCTCAATATACTTATTGAGTTTTATGGGGTGGCCTAATATGCTATGGTGAGATTTGAAATTTAAGGATTTAGAAAGGTTTTGGGCCTCTTAAGAATGCCAATGATTGATAATCTATGGGAAAATTTCATATGGACAGTGGCATAAGAAACATATGGGGGAATGATACTGTTGGTGCTAGTAGAAGATTAGTATTCTGCAGCAACTGCCATTCCTTTAAATAACTGATATTGCATTGTAAGTTAAATATTTGTAGGAAAAACTATTTGCAGCCAACACAAAAAAATACTGAAGAAGTCTCTGAAACAGTTTATGCTACTTTTTAAGATGCAGATGTTCTGACGTCTCTGAAATATCACAATTTTAAAAAGCCTCCAATATTGCTGGGCATATTTTCCTTACATATCTTTAAAAACACTTAAGGAAAACAAATAAAAATATTTAAAACATTAATTGCCAAGCACGAAATGCTGTATAGCCATATTGAAAGAACCTGTGACTTGCAAAATAAATTGCTCCACTGAGTTACTTTCTTCTTATAATTACTTAGATTGCAAATTAGGCCTTGTATATTCTTTGAGGATCATCATGATAAAAAAAATGTATTATACACAATGGAATACTATTCAGCCATAAGAAAGAAACAAATCCTACCATTTGCAACAACATGGATGGAGCTGGAGGGTATTATGCTCAGTGAAATAAGCCAGGTGGAGAAAGACAAGTGCCAAATGATTTCCCTCATTTGTGGAGTATAACAATGAAGCAAAACTGAAGGAACAAAACAGCAGCAGACTCAGAGACTCCAAGAAGGGACTAGTGGTTACCAAAGGGGAGGGGTGGGGCAGGGCCGGTAGGGAGGGAGGGTAAAGGGGATTGAGGGGTATTATGATTAGCACACACAGTGTGGGGGATCATGGGGAAGTCAGTGTAGCACAGAGAAGACATGTAGTGACTCTGTGGCATCTTACTACACTGATGGACAGTGACTGCAATGGGGTATTGGGGGGGTACTCGATAATATGGGTAAATGTAGTAACCGCATTGTTTTTCATGTGAAACCTTTGTAAGAGTATATATCAATGATACCTTAATAAAAAAATTAATTAATAAAAAAAAGTGTACCTAAAAAAAATGTATTGATTACCTCCATGCCATTACCTAGGTACAAAGAAACTTCAATTGAAATATGAATTCATTTTACTTATAAACTGGTTAAGCTGAAGAATCACTTTTCCTGGGATATTAGAAAGACAGCCATAGTGCTTTTTGTCTCCATTATAGCACTTTTCATACTGCATACTGAAAAACTGGTTATGTAAGTAATGTTCTTTCCCACAGAACAATAAACTCCTTGAGGGCCAGGGCCTTAAGTTTCCTGTGCCTTAAAAAAAAATTTTCCCATGCTGCCTAGCACCATGTGTTGCATATAATAGGCACTCAATAAATGAGGACTGAAATGCAGGCCACACCTCAGGAAAATAGGGGGCTAAGCCACAGTGGGTAGGCAAGTTATAGCCCTCAGTGGTGTCTGGTACTTTGGGGACTGTTTGTCATTATCCTTTAAGGGCACATCTTTTTTTTGTCCTGTATCTTCCTTCTGCCTTTCTTTTTCCTCCTAACATCTGCTACAGACTGAATGTTTGTGTCACCCTTAATCCATCCCTTGAAACCTAATACCCAATGTGATGGTATTTGGAGGTGGGGTATTTGGGAGTTGATTAGGTCATGAGGGTGAAGCCTCATGAATATAGGCTTTAGTGCCCCTCTTAGAGATCCCAGAGAGCTCCCTCACCCCTCTCCCCATGTGAGACACAGTGGAAAAAACAGCTGTCTTTGAACAAGGAAGTAGGCTCTTACCAGACACTGAATCTGCTGGCACCTTGATCTAGGACTTCCCAGCCTCTAGAACTGTGATAAATAAATGTTCACTGTTTATAAGCCACACAGTCTATGATAGTTTATCATAGCAGCCCTAATGGGCTAAAATGGTATGCCAGCATGATATGGAATCCATTTATTCTGTAGGCATTTCCTAGGCCGGTAGGTGACATTGCCTGGATCTTGCAGAAATTCTGGAGCAGGCTCCCCATTCCATGATTCCATCAAGAACTTGATCAAACCTACTCAGATTACGGAGCAGCCTTCCCATTCCATGAATCCAACAAGCACTTGATCACACTTACTCAATAGCAAGAAAAAGGAACCTAGGAATCAATATGAAGAAAAAAATGTCAGTTTTGACAAATGGAAGATGAGTCAAAGTGGACTAGAAAAGCAGAAGGCAAAATTTAGAGGAAAATAAGAAGATGGATAGTAGATTAACTTAAGTAATTGTTAGCTCAAATTCTTTAAGCCAAAACTGATGTTTTTGTTCAAATTCTTCTAGAATAGATTAATAAAACATATAGTTGCCTGTCAACTTAAGAGCTCTTGGTTTTTCACATACATTTTATTAATAAATACTAAAATGAAATGGTGTATTTGTTTTATCCCATGTGATTCTGCAGATCCTTTTCACCCAGAACCCTGTGCCCCAGGAATACTATCTCCTGGTTTTTGGTTATAGCCACCACCACCTATCGGTCTGGCCAAGTCAACATGCAAAGTCCTCCCTCATCAGACTGGGACTTGGACTATTCAAAGCCTTTGTTTCTAACAAGCGTCAACTGTTAGTCTCTAAGTCCTTGCTATTCAAAGGATTGTCCATGAACCACCAGCAGCATCCGCACATGGAAGCCTGTTAGAAATGCAGAATTCTGGGTCCCACTCAGCAAAGCCCCACATTCAAGTTTGAGAACTGCTGTTCTAATTCATGTGTACTAATCTTGCCTTTTCAAGTAGACTGTTTCACTGAAGGACTAGGTTCTTTCCTGCCTTGTTCATCTCTGTAATCCTTCTTCCCTCTTTTCCTTACTCCATGCCCAGAACCTAACACATGGTTTCATACATAATAGATGCTTAGTAGATACCGACCCACCACTACTCCCAACTGGGGCTCCACCTGCTGTAGTTTTCCTAGCATTCAGCTGTTTGCCATTCCTTTAAATTGTCACATATTGAGCATAGAAATATCCTGATTCCATGCACGATGGCATTAGGCCTGTTCAAGACTCTAGGGTGCAGCACACACTGTTGGTAATAAAGTGCACTTGTTGACTCCTAGAATGTCATTGCTAGTGACTGGTCTTGCTATTTAGTGTTGAGAATGGTTTATAAAGGATGATGATATAATAGTCTAGAAAAGGGATCACAATGTACAGCCTGTAGGCCAAATCCAGCCAGCTGCCAATTTTCGGAAATAAAATTTTATTGGAACACAGCCATAGTGTTTACATATTATCTATGGCTACTTTTCATCCAAAATGGCAAAGCTGAGTAGTTTCAACAGGCACAGAGAACCTAAAATATTTTGTATCTGACCCATTACAGAAGAAGTTTGCCAATTCCTGGTCTAGAGGCTGTATTTGACATGTATGTGGCAAGTGCGGTTCCCCTGGGTCACTGGAAGTTAGCATGACTCTGGTAGGCAGCTTTTAAATGGCCTGCAAGACCCCCACCTTCTTGAATTCTTGCCCTTGTGTCATCTCCTCCCCTTGAATGTGGGCTGGATCTAATGACTCTACTTGAAACAAACAGATCACAGCAAAAGTGATGGATGTCATTTCTGTGACTTCTGTCCCACTGCTACTGCTTTCTCGGGTTGCATATTTTGATGAAGCAAGCTGCCCCGCTGGAGAGGCCCCCATGGTAAGGAACCTAAGGCCACTTCTGGCCAATAGCAGCAAGGAACTAAGGCCCTTCGTCCAATGGTCTGAAGTCACTGAATCCTGCCAACAACCATGTGACTGAGTTTAGGAGCACATCCTTCTCCAGTCAGGGCTTAAGATGAGTGAAGCCCAGCTGATACCTTCAATGCTGGTAGGAGACTCTAATGAGGAGGACCCAGTTAAGCTGTGCCAGATTCCTGATGCCCAGAAACTAGGTGAAAACAAATGTTATTTGAAGCCACTATGTTTGGGGGTAATTGGTTAAGCAGTGATGGGTAACTAATACAGTCCTGGAACCCATACTATAGACCTTGGACCACTTTGCCCATCATATTTTTCAGTACCTAGAAGGATACTGCCATGGACATTTACTGAAACTGTCTGGCCAGTGTCTGACCGTCTTTCCTGTTAGTGGAAAATCCTCAACTATGGGCATCGGTGGCCCTTTTCCCACGAGGGTAGTGTGTTCTAACCTCAATCTACAAATGCATGAGGCTGCTCACTGTCAGAAGGGACCAGCTCCAATGGCTCAAGGCACTCCAGGCCCACCCTGAGCTGAGGGTATCAATAACTCAGCACTTCTACATAAGTACCCATAAATAAGCTGAGAATCTCTGCTCACTGGTAGCCCCCGGCATGGGAGTACAACCTAGGTTTGGCCAACTTTGAAACTTGAGTGAGTGATGAAAAGATGGAGGTGAGAGAGATGAAAGTCTGCTGCTTTACCTCCTGTGGTCTTTGTTTTTAGGCCTGGTCATTCAGTCTTCTGGTCACTTCTGAGAACCATTTAAAAGCTTTCCAGTAAGTTCTTAAAAGAGCTAGAATTGGCCCCTATTGTCTGCTGTTGAGGACCACAGCAAATAGACACATACCAATATTATAACATTACATGGCGAAGACTGAAAACAGGTACAAAAAGACTGTGGACGAATTCAAAGCTAATTTATTTTACCACTTATATCTCTCTCTGTGTCTAATATTTTCATAATAAGAATTTACTTTTAATCATATACAATTTCCATTATGGAAACATTTTGGGATTTTCTTTCATATTTTTCTTATTAACAATTTTTGCAGTGTGTAATTATCGGATAGCCTTTTTTCCATTTAGCACATCATAACCACTTTTCCATGTGAAATTAGGCCCATATCTACTAAGTCAAAAGGAAGGGGTGCTTTTTCTAATTTGTCAGCCTCTTTCTTTTGGCAATACCACTGCCTAGGGAAGATGCATTAAAAAAAAAAAAATTCAAACAAATGTGTTAATATGTATTCCCAGAGTCCTAATTCCACTGAATTCATACAGGATCATTTCTTCAACTAGTTCCTCTAGCTTTGTACTTAATTTGCTTCCATATTTCATCTTTCAATACTTACTATTGAACATTTTTAGGCCAAAATTTCTTCCATATTTTCCATTTTTGTTACTTGATTTTGATTTTGGGGTGGGAAAAGTCAAAAGGTACAAATACCTGTATGTCTCTTGATAAATATCACCAAAGATAAGCTTTTCTTCAAAAACAATGTTATCAAGGTTCTCTGCCACCTTCATTATGAGAAAGTGCTGCCTCCCCAGAATCCTCCCCAACAACTAAAATTAATTTCTTAAGGTTGCTTTTTTCCTAATTTCTTAAGTTGCTGCTATAAAAAGCTTCCAATAAAATGTCACTTTTATTTTCTCAACCATTCCTTGGCTAAGTAAAGTTCTATAGAGTTTTTAAGTGTGCTGATAGAAAAAAATACATCTTCACAAATAAAACCTTGATAACTATTTCAAGAAAGTTTGATGAGGCTTGGAGCTATTTAGTCTACCTTGGCTTTTTAAATGGCCAACATTTAAAAGAGCTTGGCTTAATTTAACTCATTGTTACTGTAATATAAATGGAAGTCATAGAGCAATTTAAATACAATGACATCATATAATTTAATGTGCCCTCGCTTGAAAAAAAGTCACCAAACAATAGGTTACAATTATTGTAAGATAAATTCTAGCCGAAATAAGCAGGTGAAGAGAGGCAACAAAGGGCCAGGTAGTTCATTTGAGTACAGTTCCCAGGCGATATTCCCTGGTCCGAAACACAGGCTGGGGAAGTGACGCAAGTAGACAGGGAGTTTTTAAAGACGGTAGGGGGCGGCAGAGCTTAGATTTACAGCGGCAAGAGGATTGGCTAGCCTAAGGCACATTTTTCAGGTTGGGAGGGGGCAGCAGCAGGGGACTTTGGCACTTCATCAGTGTCCGACGGTGCTCACTCCTCCCTCCGGTGCCTCCAGCCTTACAATCATCAGATATTTTTATTAAAGAACAACAGAGCATCTAGTTGTCTGGGTAACTGGGGGAGAATTAGACTGAATTACTTTGTTAGTTCTGGCCTTCAATTAAATTGCCATTTACCTATCCTCTTCAAAACCAAATAAATCTCCGTTCATCAAAACGTTCCTTGTTTATTTGGCCAAGGAAGTACAATCATGTCTTTGGAAGCAAACAAAATACCAGAATTCCTATCATGTAGTTTGCACTTGTAAAGCTCGGCTTTGACAGCTAGGGAAGGGATAACCTAAACAAAGGGAAGTAGTGAAAACAGAATGTAATGCTAGGACGGGACAGAGAGCAACACTTGGTAAGTTGTGCCAAATTAGTCAACCAAGCAAAGCACTCTACCGGGAGCTGCAAAGTGGGAAGTCCTATTTTTTACTCTGCTGACCTCGGTGAATACTGTCTTGTTTTAGAAATGAGAATAATTCTTTGCTACCTAACAGGTCTGTTGTGAAAATTAGTGAGTCTATAAAATATTTAAACGTCTCTAGAAGCCCTTCCTAAATACACACTATATAACCTTACATTCATACAGTTCGTGCAGCCTCTTTGAAAATATGCCAATCTTTATTAGTATTCCTGTGACACCTTCTACCAATGTACGATCACTTTAAGTCCTCGTAAAATTAATAAAATGCTCACTATTTTAGGCGGGAGACTGCCGTCGGAAATGGTTTCCACTCCCCACCTGATACCTCCCACACATACATGCATGTTAAGGTATCAAACACTGTGGAGTATGAAGAGCTGTAGTCATAAATAGGGAGGTGGCAAACAGGAATCTGCACTGGGGCAAGAGCTCTCAGCAGAGCCGAGACCCCGGCGGGCACTCTCCAGACTGCTCCTCGGGGACCCGATCTGGGCGCCCGGGACCCAGGACGCCCGGCTCGTCCGGGCCTGGAGGGCCCCGAGAGCTCCGGGCGCTCGCAGGGCGGGCTTGCAGCCGCCCCAGCGGGGCTCGATTACTTTCGCCTGGGCAAGAGGCAGCCCCGCCGCTCCAGCGGGCACCCTACGGTGGGGAGGTGGGGCGACGACAGCAAAAACCGGTAAAGCAGGAGATTCACCCGGGGAGGGCCGGGCGCGCGAGCGGGGAGGACGCGGACTTGTTGGAAGAGGCCGGACTTCCGTTGGGCCCCGGCGCCGGGAGCCACGCGCCCTACACCCTGCCGCCGACGGGCCCAGCCCCGCAGTCCAGGCCGCGCACCCCGGCCCCGCCCCCGGCCCGCGCGCCGGGCTCTCCGCGGGCGCCCTCCCACCCCGCCGCCCGCGCTCTCCCGCTCCTGGCGCAGCTGTCGCGCCTCCGTCCCGCCCCCTCGTGCAGCACCGCCCGCGCGCAGCGTCTCGAGCCGGCCCGGTCCGCCGGGAAACATCCGCGAGAGCAGCGACTGCGGAGGCCGCCGCAGCGCCTTCTCCTGCCGCGCTCCTGCCCTCGCGTCCGGGCCCGCGCTGCGGTCAACGTGCTCTCGCAGCCTCCCCGGGCCTGCCGCCCACTCCCGGGCCTCCGAGTGCCCAACCGTCGCGCTCTGCCTCGGCGCGCGGCCCGCCGCCTGGTTCCCGGGCGGGCGAACCAGGTTCCAGGTGCCGACGGCCGCCGCGACAGCGCCCCCGGGAAGCCGAGGAGGAAGGAGCGGGAAGGTGGAGGCGGCCGCAGGCTGAGTCGCGGCCGGGATGTCCGGGCAGCCGCCGCGGCCGCCGCCGCAACAGCAGCAGCTGCTCCCGCCCCCGCCGGCAGCCGTGGCCCCCGACCCGGGAGTGGTCCTGCCGGCGCCCCCGCCTGTCAGCGCCGCTCCTCTCCGGCCAGCTTGCCCGGCGGCGGCGGCGCACCCCCGGACCTCGCCCTGAACGAGCAGGAGAAGGAGCTGCAGCGGCGGCTGAAGCGCCTCAACCCGGCCGTGGACGAGCAGGAGACTCACCCTGCCTCGGTCCTGGAGGCCGAAGGACAAGTTCAGCTACATCGGCCTTTCTCAGAACAACCTGCGGGCGCACTGCAAAGGTACCGGGCGTGCGTCCAGCGGTGGGAGTGGGGCCACCGACCCGACGCGTCCGCCGCCGGCCCCTCCCCGCCCCCCCGGGGCTCCGTGCCCTCCGAGATGACCCGCCGCCCGCTCTGCTCCTGCGAGGGCGAGATTCTTGGAAGCGGAAGGTGAGTGTAACGCGCGAGGTCTAGTGCAGCTGTGAATCCCAGGCCAGGACTAGCACACCTTGATGGAATCCAAGATGACAGGACAGAACTCGCTTTTTGATTTCGTTTTAAGATAAATCTTAGGTTTTGTGGAGAGGAATCTGTGGCCTCGGAGTTGGGTTACATTGTTCTGCAGGTGATGATGGGTCAGGCATTCTCTTCTAACGTGGGAGGAGAGAAGCACGATTCCGAGGTATGATTGCTGATGAAGGGGGGAGGGCCCTGGGTGGGGGGGAGATCGGTGGAGGATTTGGGCCAGAATTAGGCCAGATACTGTCCAGGGGGACAAAAGGACCAAGAGCCCAAGTTTGCCACCAGTGTGTCTTACTAAAAGCAACCGGCAGCGTAGGAGAGGTGAACCCTCAGGAGCGCGCGTTTCTTAAGCGAGCAGAAATCTACCACCGCTGTTTGGAAATGCCCTGTTCACATTGCTGGCATTACAGGAAGTCCAGTTGTAAACAGGGTTTTAAAATGTTGCTTAGTATTTTAAAGGAAATACGCTTATGTTTTATATCGGCAGTTAAAAAAACAAACCTTAGGTTTGCGCTTGTTTCCCTCCTCCCTTACCTACCTTTCCTATTTTAAAACAAAGCGTTAAGATCAGTTGTATATAAAATTCTAAGTTGCTGTGGGAATTTTTGAAATGTAATCCAAATTAATAGAATGCCTCAAGTTTATTTGTTTGGGGGGAAAAGAAAAATCAATCTAATGTATTCATTTGTCTAGAAACAAATCAAGTATTTTAGGCCCCAAATCTGAAGCAGGAGCCCTTACATTCAAAAGCAGCCTCGTTTTGATTGGCTACAAAGGGAGGGTCTTAATCAAATACTAGTGACATGGATTTAGAGGGTATAAGCAGCCGTTGTGGTTAAAGTATACAGAATTGAAATTTGAGAAGAACCTTGATAAATAAGTAACTATTTAATCAGAAAGAATGGTCACAGGAAATGTACCAAGTGATTTGGCTGCAAAGAATCACACACAAAAACAGGCCTTGTTGAATATTTCTTTTTATCCATACATTCAGAGAAATGCTTTCAATTTCTAAAATGTTAGGTTACATAAATGGCTGAAAATTATCTTTTTTTTAAAGGACATTTTGTTAATACTTTGGGAAGGCTATTATTTTATTTTGTGTTTTAGTTTGTATGAACTGTTGTCTGTTGTGAAATGTTACTCCTCATCTGGAGAAAGATTTTTGTTAGACTTGACAAACTCGTATTTTAAATTTATGGTGAATGGTTAATAATTAGCCTTAAAAATCAAAGGTAGAAGATAGGGAAGATTATGGAACAAAGAATCCTAACTTTCAGGAGTCCTGCAATCATTTGTAATTTTAGGCATGTTACAAGACAGGGCCTCGGTTTCTTCCTCTGAGTAATGAGGGAGTTGAGCCTTCGTGGTTGGTAGGGAAATTTCCAGCTCTGAATTTCCATGATAACTAAGATTTGTGATTACAGCTTATTTAGTATTGTAACATACCTTATTTACTCCTACTAACTCCTTTTACATAAAATTGATGATTTGGGTCAGAGAAAAGTGCAAGCTCATGTGAAATTGATTGGAGTTTGGAATATTTACGACACTGCTGTCTCGATTACTTTTCCTGTTGGCATTTTCATTACTTTTTGTTGTGTAATACTAAGATTCACTTTCTGGAAACTTCACCCTTTTGTAAACATAAATCATCATTTCTGGAAGAACAGATGCAGTTGTTTGTCATACTTTTTCTTTTCTCTCCCTCTCTCCTGTCACACACACAGTCCCTTTTTCCCCTTCTACTGCTGCTTCCTCTTGTTTTTAATGTGTGGGGTTTTTTCCTGTTGTTTTTCTGTGTTCCTTCCGAGGGGACCACACCAAAAGTACCCAGCTGCTCTTCCCAGTAATAAGGGAAGGGAGCAAAGGGGAAGTGTCTTAGGTAGTTGGTAACAAAACTTTGAAGTCCCAGAATACCCAGAGTGAATTTTGTTTAACTTGTTATTGTACTGCATTGATTTTACCTAAGGATTTTGAGACACTGTTAAGATGAAAAACTACTGTTCATTAAGTATTGTTGATAATTACAGAATGTCAAAAGATTGATGAAAACCCATTTTCTGGAATGATAAGGATTTTCCTTACCCGTGAAGTAGAAATATCTTAGTCTCCTTCGCTTTGAACATATTCTCTTTTTTTTAATTATTTTGTTATCATTAATCTACAGTTACATGAAGAACATTATGTTTACTAGGGTCCCCCCTTCACCAAGTCCCCTCACAAACCCCATTATAGTTACTGTCCATCAGCGTAGTAAGATGTTGTAGAATCACTACTTGCCTTCTGTGCTGCACAGCCCTCCCCATGCCCCCATCCCCAACAATATTATAGTGCTAATCTTAATACCCCTTTTCTTTTTCCCCCACCCTCATCCCTCCCTTCGCTCCCGTCCTCTCCAGTCCCTTTCCCTTTGGTAACTGCTATCGCCATCAGTAACTACACTGGTGGCTGTTTTACAGATTTTTTTTTCTGAACAGAAATGCCCAGTAAATACTGGCTGCATCTGGAAGTTAAGAATGCCTTTGGCTGGGGGAGCAACAAGGTGAAGGAAGCTTTATTTACAAAGGATGGGGAAGGAGGGGTGAACTGTCAGTGCCCTGCAGTGGCGTCTGTCCTTCTGTGCTTTGCTTTTTGCTGCCTTTTTTGACACAAGTTGGTAATGTGAGAAACACACTCACTGGTCCAAATTCAGTAAGTGGACACAGAGACAAAGAGAACAGCGGAGCGAGGCTTTAATGACGGTCTTGCAAGATCGAGTGTCTGGTGGGCAGGCACACCTGGGGAGTCTGGCGCCAATAATTTATCTCCTAGTGCACGAGTCCCTCCCCTGGTTCCTCATTGGCTGAGTACTGCAGGGTTCACATTCTTTCCCGGACATCGCCTAAGCTAGTTATATCTTTCTTTTACATTTGTCTTGATTTGATTGGTAGGTTTAAAAAACTCAAACAGGTATATCTAGGCTCTTACTAATTACCCCACCCCCACTCTCAGCCCAAGCAGCTTCCACCACGTGGCCCTTTGTTAATACCTTACTGTTAAAATGTTTAAACATCCTAGTGGGAATAAATCACATTTAGGTTTTATACTCTTTCCTAGCAGTAACTTGTGATTTCTATTCCCCATATTTCACGATGACAGGACAGAAAGGGGAGAGTGTCCTTTCTCACCAGTTTTCGGATGTTATATCAGAAACGTACTCCTGTAGAATTAGTAGTCTCAAAGGATCTCATTCTTTTGAGTGAGGATGGATGCGTAAATTTGGGGAAACACAGCCAAGAAACAGTGAGGGAAGTGCTTGTGCCCATTACCCATCAGTAAATGAGTTATATTCCTTTGTCTTCAGCCTACTGGTTGGTTTGGTGCCCAGGCCTGTTTAGACTTAAAGAGTTCTGAAATAAGACATTGTACTTGGTTTCCTCCTCTGGCCAAGGCTAACTTTGGGCTGCTTTTGTGTGAGTTTTTAATGTCCCTTTGGTATGCTGATGTTCCACCACAAGGAGAATCATATGTCAAGCGCTTTCAGGTCGCTTGGTTTACTTACTTCCTGGTGATGAGCGGGAATTCATAGTTTTGGGGTTCATTTGTTGTCACAGTAGAGGAGGAAAAATGAGTCAGAGGTGTTCTGAATGCCAGAGTACTGCTGCCTCCCAGGCCTTACCCTTTGACACCGACCAAGGCGAGAGGGCATCCACCTTCTGTCAGCAGATGTTGGAGCACCAGCCCTCTTCTCCCCTTTTCAGACAGCAATACTCTGCAGTCCCCCTTTATCTGCAGGGGATATGTTCCTTTACGGTACAGTGGATGCGTGAGAACCATAAGTTAGTACCTAACCCTATATATACTTTCCTATACATACGTAGCTGTGGTTCCCTTTAATTTATAAATTAGGCACAGTAAGACATTAACAACTAGCAATAAAATAGAGTAATTATAACATCATACTGTAGTGAAAGTTAGGTGAATGTGGCTTCTCTCTCAAAATGTTACCGTACTGTTCTCACCCTTATTGTGATGATGTGAGCCGTGATGTGATGAAGTGGGGTGAATGGCCAAGACCTTGAGAAGTGGCCCTGGGCTGTTTTTGACCTGATGGAATGTCAGGAGCATCATCTGTTGGTAGATCTCCCTAGAAAGCAAAACCTCTGGTGAGGGGCACTACTGTATTTCTTTGAAATAAGCCTGCAATTGAAAAAAATCCAATTGGTTTTGGAAAAGAAAAAAAAACCTCCAGTATCTAAATTGGGATTAGCTCTTGCTTAAAAGTAGTCATGCCGGTTTGTTTTGGGGTATGTGTGCGTGAGGGAGGTGTTTTGTTTTAAATCACATGAATGTTTATATTGTTAATAGAAACAAGGAATTTGGGACTAGAATAATCCTGCCGCTCCTCACAAGCCAGTTCTAGACTCAAATGTTTTTGAGCTCCCTAAATGTGGAACATCCCAAACGGTTGTAAGATGGATGGGGGTGCCTATAGGGAGCCCCTTGAGAGCTGCTCTCATTCATTCATCTGCCACTGTTTGGTAGCTAGGTCTCTTCTGTGTCAGTGATGTAAGGGTCTTTTCTCATGCAGCTCAGTTTTTGTTCCAAGACTGAAAATAAAGGATGAAAAAAAGAGGTACCACACTTAAGTGAGCTCATTCGCGTAGAAAGGGAAGACCATAGGTGAAGAGGGTAAGGAGATCATCTCAGATTTTCCTTCTAGACAGTCTCATGATCCAGATCTTAGAAGTGTTACAGTTGAATATGTTTAAAAAAACTATTTCTGGCCTTACAGTATGTCAGGCACTCTGCTGCTAGATGCTAACAATACAAAAATCATTAAGACTGGCTGCTTCTGGGGAGCTTGGACTAAAAAATATTACAGATATGGAAATAATATAGTAAGTGCTCTGAAAGAGCTATGTGTACTGACTTGAGTATACACA